TCATCTGCAATGAGTAGTTGCTGGATAAAACTGCGACAAATTAAAAATTTGGTGCGGACAGACACACAGACAACTAGACTGACGGACAAACAGACACTCAAGTGTAAAACAGTATACTCCCCTCTCCATCGGAGCGGGAGTATAAAAATCAGCCATTTTAAAAGACATTCTCATAAAATGCATTCAATTATAAAGAAGATTAGTTTTTGAGTCCTCTTTCATAAAAAAAAAAAATCTGATGTAATGTGTTAAATGCTCTTTGGGATGATATTCACTAAGATCAGATCAGGCCATAACCCTCCCACCTTGGAATTTTACGACTGAAGGATTATTACTATATGGGAGTAAAAATCATATTATAATGCTTTCCATAGCTATATAGTGTATGTAAATGTCAGAAAATTGAAGTTCAGATACCTTTTGGAAGTATATAATTCTACCGAATTCTTTTTATGTTTAAGATTGTATATATATATCTGAAAGCTTTTGTACAATGTAAAAAACTTTAAACCAAAGCCCCCATGGATTTATTTCGTTTGTGTAATATGAAATATACAAATCTTTTTTGGCTGTATAAAGTGATATTTTTTTCTATACAGCTCAGCAAAAATATTTGACTGACAGACAGACAGACACTTTCGACGGCTGTGATAGTAGTGAAGTCACAGAAAATATCTCTATTGACTTTGGAGAGATCAAATACCAATGCGAATGTTCGATTTCGCCAAATCTCAGTGGACATATGTTTCCTTACCTTGAGACTTATCTAAGTTATGCAAACTGTGGAACAGAATTCAGAATTCTAGACAGTTACAACCAGAAGTACAGACTACCATGTGGAACATCACAACCCATTCTTTTCTTAACTAACTCTTCTAGTATAGTGGAATTTATTCATGTAAAAGATTTTGCTGGACCCTCAGACTACTGCTTAAGGGTGTACACATACGATAATTTACTCAGTAATAATGATAATATCAATTTCAAAAATACACTTACTTCATTTGACTTACTGTTGGTCACATAACAGAAAAAGTCAATGTCATTGTTTGCGAAAATTGCTTTTAAAATCATTACCTGCAATGGACTGACATTTACGTTTTTTTCCCTCAATAAGACATGCCAAAAATTAGACATTAGAATATTTAATGATATATTTTTGAATGTGTTGAATATTTACTTCCTTAACGATAGTTGCAACGATAGTTGCTTTCATGGATCTTTATAATTTTGACAATTGTCACTATTTATTTCAAGACGTAAACAGTTCCCTATATATATATGTGAAAAATCCCTTTTTTGTGATTTATCTATCATTTTAGAAATTGCCATTGCTTGCTTTATGTATTGGTTTCTATTATTACATAGGTATTTTAAACATAATCAAGGCATCCTGAGGACGTCCGAAAACTGCAGGTAAAGAGACAGATTTCAAGAATATTACAAGTCCTTGCTAAATAGATTTGCAAGAACTTTTTAGTTAGAAAATGTCTAACATACGAGGGTTGTTAGCAAAGTTTGCGGACAAGTTCTATTGTGAGCGCGCTATTTGCATGAAATCAGTAAAACTCTGCAGGTAAAAACTATACATATTTTCCAATTAATATGCAAAAATTTGATGTTTTCCGATGATGTTAAAAAATATGCAGCGAAATTATTAAGATAAAGCATGCTTCACGGAGCATGTTACTTTTTCGCACTTTTACATTTCAGAGACATAATTTTTAAATTAAAAATTTAGGATATTTCACCTCTCGCTTAGATATTTATGAAACGTCATTTGGTGAAATTTTGAATTAAATTTGAGGAGTTATGACTATTTTATCACTAATTATAAATGATCAATACGTAAAAACAAAGTCAAAAAATGGTAACGTTATTGAACGTCTTGGAGCACTGAGCTATTAAAAAATTATATGTGCAGAAAGGAAAATGCCCGAAAGACACTAAAATGTTTTCAGATGCTGCTAGGGATGGCTTACACGTATCTAGTACCAAAGTGTTCAAGTAGTAGCTACTTTATAGGAATGGAAGGATGGACATTTTTGTTTATCAACTCCTGCGATTCCCCAATATCCTGCTCATCGCATGGACGTTGAGCCTTTCGATTTTGCATTATTTGTCATATCTGATCGATGAACGGCGTTGACATTGATTTAAAGATCTCACTAATATCCGATACGCCACAAAAGGCAATAAAAAATATATATAACATGTCTTGATATACTTATTCAATTTTTTAAGTCAGAAAAAGACATAAAAAGTATATAGATATGAAAGATATTTAGAACTGTGATAAAGCTTCACAGGTTTGGAATCAGGTTGTCGCGTCATCTAACGTCATATTCAACGTCAAGTGATTGCCCGTGAATCCCATGACCGCGCAGTAAATATCAAGGTATATTTTCAAAATTTTAGTAAATGGACCCAATCTTTTACATTCTAATAAACAAAAGATAAGAATTTTATCAGACATACGTCATTCTTCAAAGTTTACAATATATTTTCCCTTATATCAACGTGTCCACGAACTTTTCTAAAAACCTTCGTATTTTAAATTTTCTACGCGAACACTTAATTAAATTAATAGAACTCCATCAAAAATTCTAATGTTCAAATTAAGTCCACTATATAAGCTGCATTAGACGCCATACATTTTTCAATGTTGAAAGAAACACTGAATCTGGATTAACCTAAAAAGACATTTGATTTACCTACAGGTTTACGTAAATCTACTGATGCAAAAAGAAAAAGACCTACACGTAAATACGTTACTCAAACAACACTGGACAACAATGGGCGTTCGACGGCTAAATGCTGAGGGCATCAGCTACACCTCACGTAAAGACGTTATTCAGACAACAATCTTGAACCAAAAAACAAAACAAAACAAAACAAAACAAAAAAAAAAACAAACAAACAAACAACAACAATAAAAACAACAACCAAAAAAAAAAATTACAACAAAGAAACAAACAAACAAACAAATAAAAAGAAAAATAAGAACAAAATACCTCTCTCACTTGAGATATGACTATTAATCATACATCTACATTTCAGGTTCTCCTGTTTATGCACTGCTTATTGGATTGGTAATTTAATTGTGGAATACTGGTTCATGTCTTGACAGGAATTTCTTTATCTCTTGTAATTTACATACTGAATTTCCTAAATAGGTAAAGTCTGAATTATTTTATATAGAATAAATTTCTTCTTCATATATTAATATAAGGGTCATTTGAAATATACATGTGTTTGGTTTGAATAAAATATCTTTATTTCTCTAAAATAAAATAAAATTTCTTTTCTTGTCTTAAAATTAAATTTCTTTTCTTGTCTTAGTAAAAAGCAACATTTTATGATCATGAACTTCAAGTTTCCTGATAGTTACACATTTAATTAGGAAATAACGCAAAATTACAGAAAGCATTTAAGTGTAAATCGGCGCACGAAAGCAAGCGTAATTAACGTCTTTTATAACGTCATGATCATTTTTAAGTACTGCTCTGTGTGCTTCACAGGCGTCTTGTAAGCATCTCATTGAATTTTAAACTGGCAAACCACTCTTGACTGAGCGACTCATTAAAATAACCATATTTTTTTTTCAATCAGATTCAGATTTCAGTCCTCGAAAGGTCACCTTAACTTGTCGGAAGCAGAGAATACACAAAGTTTGACGTTGATCCTGACCAATAACGATTTTCTCCATCTGAATTTAACAAACAAAACTGTACTTCTTATAGGTCTAACTATTTTCGGTACAGAGGTAAAAACTGACCTATATCTTTTACATGTATGTCATTTAAAAGCAACTTCTCTACTTATGTTTAAGTGTGTAATCTCACTTCTATATCTTTTTCCATCTCTGAAGTGAACAAACCACATTTTAACAATTTTATTTCACCTACTGCAGCATTTCACGATGTCATTTTCAGCAAACTGAATTCCAACTAATTAAACTTTGAAAATTACGACACCATTCCTCTGTCTCTGATGTCATCTATGTGGAAATTTGTCTTATAACTAAGATTTTGTTTTCGGTTTCACTAATTTAAATTTGAGTTTTATGTTCTACATATTACTAGAGAAACAAATGGAATTGGAATAGTTCCATACTTAAATTATTCCGAATTTTGTTTTTGCGCCGAAAGACCACATCGACCTTCCTATAAATCGTGATTATAGTAATGGTCATGACATATCGTCATAATATTATTACCATGAAAGACATTTATTTTTTATTCCTATAAATCGTCATAATAATAATCGTCATAATATATGGCCATAATATAATTATTATAAAAGAGATTTATTTAAGAATTCACAATTTTAATGAGCATTGAATAAATTATGGTTACGCAAAATTTGGTTAGTATTGATTGAATGTTTACAAAGTTATAAGCATTGTCTACGACTTTTTGGGAATAACCTCATATACTCTGAAGATGACCAAAAATACAAGTATATGAGTTTCTGATTGTAGCAATTTTCCTTCATCACCTGTATATGGAGTTTATGTCTCCCCGTTGATTTGATGCGTAAGAGCACTGGTTTTTAGATAAATTTCTGCGTTACAAATGTAAAACATACATTGACATTTCCATAACGTTGCTCTCTACAATTGATCAATGATTTACACAGGTTGATTTTTTACTGGGGTCCATTTGATTTTTACACTCTCTCTCTCCCTCATGTCCTTGTTTGCTTCCTTCTTGCTTCCGTTGCATCATTTTTCTAACCTATCTTTTATTGTTCATGTTGGTCAGTAGAAAATTTCTCCCAATGCAAGCCTAAAGATCAAAACATTTTTACACTAGATGCATGCGTCTCTTGAAATTTCTCTTATACAAGTGTCACCCCCATTAGTGTATCAGAAAAAAGAAAATATCAGGACAACAAAAAAAAAAAATTGTAAAATTGGAATTGTTTTGTTACTAAACAGTGACACCAGTGAATATATCTTTATATTCCTAAAACATATCATTGACAACAAAAACCTCTTTAGAATGATTGTTATTAACTTAACAAAGCTCAAAAAGATCTTTTTATGTTTATAAAATGTTTACATTTATGTTTATTCGTAAACTGCATTCTTAAGTTAAACAGAAAAATAAAAACAAGAATTAAATATATATGTACTAAATATATATGTACAAATATGTACTAAATGAATATAAAATTCAATTTTATGCTTTGTTTACCAAAAAAGATCGTAAGGAAAAAAATCTTAAAATTAAAATCGTGTCAAAATAGATTTAATTCTAATGTTGCAATGAATCGTATCTCTGATCACTTTCTCCTCGAGCTCTTGACTGACTGCTTGTATCCAGTTCTGTATACATGTCTGCAGAAATCTTATGGTCGGTTTTTCTAGGATAAATACATGAGGAATGACTCCTTTTAACAATATCATAAAATTTGAAAAAAAAAATTATTTTGCCTTCAATTCTTTTATTGTCTATATACTTTTATAGTATACATGGTATATATAAACCTATATAGATAAACCTAAACTGATTAATCATATATTGTTTCTTCAATTTTCAGCACCGTTCACGGTAGCTCAGTCGGTAGAGCGCTCGCTCCGTGATCGGGAGGTCGTGAGTTCGAATCTCGGCCGCGACAGACCTAAGTCGATAAAAAATAGGTAGCAACTGTTCCTTCGCCATGCGCTCGGCACTTTGGAGTGAAAGTTGCGGGTCTTTCGGATGAGACCTTAAAAACCGAGGCCCCGTGTCACGACAGGCGTTGGCACGATAAAGATCCCTCACTGCTCAATGGCCCTGAGTGCCGAGTAAAGGTCAAAATTTGAAGCCCTTCACCGGTATATGGTGACGTCTCTATATGAGTGAAAAATTCTCGAATGGGACGTAAAACAATATACAATCAATCAATCAATTTTCAGCTTACAGGGAAAAAAGTCGTGTAAAACAATGCTTACATGAATTTAAGTTAAGGTTAATTTCCTACCTTTTTCGTAACCTGCAGAAGAGGGTTATATTTTGTAATATTAATAAAAGAGATATCACAGCCAAAACTGTCCATAGAATCACTACAAGTGGATTCGAAGTACAATCTCTACCTAAAACAGAATGCAAAGTTTCAAACAAATATACTAAATTTTAAAACAGAGTTCCACAAGTTATTCCCAGAACGCTTAATTAAATTATTCCTTTTTATTTTGATAAAATGATTAACTGCTTGTTTGTTGTTGTACATCACTTAAGGCTTAAAGGTCCTCGTTATTATATTTTCGTCGAAGGTAAAACATGTTTACCAATAGTATTAATATAAAGAAGATCAAAAGGGTTTAGGGATACTGTTTATGATGTTTCATATCTAGGCACTTGAGTGTGTTTTGAATTAAAAAAAGTTTGGAAAAAATAGTCGCTGAATATTTCTATAAAATACAAATTGCAGATTTCAACTTCAAATGTGGAGGAATGCAAAACCGTACCATTTTGGGATTAAGAATATTGCTTATATTTACATCTTCAGTTTCTTTGTTGGTGGCTTTACTTCATGAATTTTTGAGTTACTTGAGTAGTATGCTCTTTCTTAAAACGTTGTTATTCAAAATGCCTGTGATTTGCATTATCCATAACCACAGACCGAGCCTGTATTCATGTGTATAAAAACCCAAGTATAGGTTTTTTTTTTTGCAATTTTAAATAAACTATTTGGAACTTTAAAAGGACATAGAACGGTTTGATGCGAATTTGATGAAGACCTATTTATTCATTATCGTAATTAAGGTACATTGTAGTAATGAATTAAATGAGATAATTGCGAGTTGCCATTATTTAAATTATATGATGGGCGATCCTAAGCGATTACAGGGAAAACCTCATAAAAAACTTTTAAAATTTTGTAAAAATTCTTGAAATGTAATCCATTTTGATATAACCATGTACAGTGAAAAATATTAATAAAGGTGTGAGTATTTTGTGATTCCCATGAAAAATTTCGTACACATATAATGCCTCTAATACTATTTCTTGTTTCAGATACATTTGAATACATTTACTTATTTTTTGTAAGAAAATATAATTCAGATTTATGTAAAGCACTGATGACGAAACGATTTCTGAGTTACTCTTAAATAAATTATTTTCAACCTCATTTGATCAACCAGGTGATTTGATATCGCAATATATATAATATATAGTAAAGAGACCATTTTGTGCAAATTGTTTGAGGTATTTATGTTCAAAGGCTACATTTTGGAATTAAAACCGACATGAAACCTAATGCTTTTTTAAAATGTGATTTTATCTTATTAGCAAACTTTACATGGTTGCGTAGCTTAGTTATACATAGATAATTTTCCCAGTCAGTATTATTTATTTTTAGATAAGTATTAAGTATTGTTCTTGAAACATATACGTACATGAAGATATACATCTTGTATTTGTTGATTGGATAGAGGTTGAAATTGTGGTAAGTTCATCGTCAAAGACTGTTACGTTTGTGGACAAATTTTGAACACGACAAGACACAGAAATATTGCCATTTAATGTGGCCTCTGAAAGAAGTAAAAAAAATATCTTTAAATTTGAAAATAGTCTGAAATACACTGTATTTGATACAAGAGGCCCAAGGGCCTTCACCGTCACCTATCGCATAATACAACACTGTAAAGGAACCATAGAAGTATAAAACAGAATTAACTGATATACGAAGCAATGTTGCCTAAGATTTTCAAACATCTAGTACAAATACCCTAATATTATTTATTGTAACGTGCGAGACCCGAGTGATCTCCTTTCGATTATACTTGGTTTTCCCGAGTCTTACAGGCATGATAATGAATGCAAAATATACAAATACAATGAACACCTGTCTATTGTGTAAGGTATTAAATATATATGTTTTTGTCACTTGCCTAGTGCTACAATTCAGTACACACAGACTTGGATATACCCCATGGCTATTTGACACTTGTCACTAATTACAATAAGTCACATTGGCTCTATGTGATTCTTTGTTCACTTTGATAAAGTATAAAACAACTTTATCCGGTCTTTTTTTCATCCAAGACTCAACCAGTGACAATGATTCATCTACTGTCAAACAGATCACCACAGTGACAACATACTGTGTACAATTACAACTTTTGCTAAATAAATAATCTATATGTCAATCTTTTATATTGCTTTCCAGACAAGAATCTGCCTTTGAGCATGCTTTGCTTATTTAAACCAAATATTATATTTTTATTTTGTTTCTATATATTACATTCTTTCTTGTATTCTCGTTCAATCAAATAACCTGTTGATTAAATTATATATAATCAACATCTAGCAAAGGGGAGTGACTCTCATTTGCTTCATTTACCGTTTTACAATTTTGTACTCTGTGTGCCATCTAGATACCTAGAGCAAAGAAAAGGTATATTTACTTATAATTCTATTTAATACATTTACATTGATATTATTGCATTTAGTTTGCTTGCTTAACACTCAGGGACAGAGGAGAAGATTTTCAAAACATTAATGCATTTTTGCTAATTAATCAATAGAGCCCGATCGAAGCACGAGAACCCCCTGACCCTGGGGCCATGACATTCATAATTTCGTAAGAGTCACCTTTTCACATCATAACTATGTATTTAGTTTGTTTGCTTAATACCAAAGAGCAGAAAAGAAGATTTTCAAAAGAAGATTTTTATTCAGTTTAATATAATAAATAGACCCCCTCTCCCAAAGAACCGCTGAATCAGGTGTCATGAAATTTCGGAAGAGGCACTCTTCGTCATCATAACTATGAACTTAGTTCATCGACTAAATATCCAGGGGCAGAGTAGATTTTCAAAGAATCCATGCATTTTCACTATATATTCATTAGAGCCCCAACCTGGCGCCAGAAATCATGACCCTAAACAAGAAGATTTTCAAAGATTGCATTAATTTTGATGGTTTTAGCCACATCCCTCAGGCCCAAGGGGGCATGGGCCATGAATTTCACAATTTTTACTCCCCTTTATCCATAGATGCTTTATGCCAAAGTTGGTTAAAATTGGTTCAGTGGTTGCAAAATAGAAGCTAAAAATATTTAAAATTTACAAACCTTTAAAAACGGAGATATGTTGATTAAATGTCCCATTTGTTAAGCTGACAGGTTTGAATATCAGTTGAAAGACATCGTCATCAGTAACATTGAAATAAACAGAAGTCCTCCCATTTCCACATGGGAGATTAACTAATTCATCGGCTCTTTTATTATCGTAAATGTTGACCTCCATACGACATATAAATTTGAAAGTATCGGATGCAAATTGTAATGTTCCCATAAAGAGAGGTTTTATCAAACAGTCGCAATGCAAATCCATTTTCTGGTAATTAATGGAGATGACAGATCCAAGTCTTGCTTTGCCATCGCAGGATGAAATTTCTACAGTGCTTGTAACTGGAAAATAAACTTCATTGTAAAGTAATCATCTTCAAAACTCTGTCAATGGGGAAAGATTAATAGGAGGCATCTGAAAGGAACTTAACACTATTGTGTAAAGACATTGAAGCAAGTTTTATTGCATGTTCATTCTAGGGACAGAAAATAAATTAAGTAATTTCCTGATTCCTTTTAAGAAAAATTGATTCAAAGTATGTCCTTGTTTTGTCATAGAAAGCATTTTTTAAAAATTATTTCCACATCTATACATATTAGGAAAAAAATGATTTGAAGTATTTTCTGTACTTTGTATTTATTTTTGATTTATCATTGTCTCTAGGTAGTATTTAAAAGTGTTTTTCCCAACAGCGACATCGTCTTTCTGTTAAGGTATGTCACTAGTCAGCTTTTAAGAAAGGTTTAATCAGACCTCTAACTTCAAAACCATTTACTTCAAGTCAATTTATATAACATATTTGAATTTAACAATGCCAGTTAATTCTACAACATTAAAATTAAAAATTGCTCACAAAGTCATAAAGAAATAAGATTTCTGCAGGTCTCATTGATGCATTAACAAATGTAGAATGGCTGATTTTGATTAATTGCAATATAGACTGAAAACAATCATGTCATAAGGATTCACTTCCTAAAGTATCTCAACTTCGTTACAATTTAAATAATGATTATTAACAATTAAGTATTATCAGATATTCATGTATTATCGTATTGCAGATTCAGTACTTTAAAATGATCTTCAATAGTATTACTAGTAATACTCACCAGGTGGTAGTTGTTCAATGTTGTAAAGCAAATTCAGGGATAAGCGAAAAACAGATGTGATAGACATAACTTATAAGTCCTTATTTAAAAGAAAGAATTTTAGTGCCTAAGAAAATCTTAAAAGATAATTTAAAGCCAGATTTATATCAAATAAAACCCTAAATAATATGACTGTTCGGTTTTCCTAGTTTCCTTTGCTTACCGATTTCCCATAATCCTTTCCGAATTTAATACGCAATGTGACGCACATTGTGAACTAGAAAAAAGTGCTCTCGTCTTCTTAACATAATTGTTGATATCCTTTTCTGAGGCATGAAAACTTTGTTTCACGATTATGAAAACCCAAAGGAAGTCGCTGTTTAATGAGAGGATGAAACTAAAATATGACGAAGAGTAGTATTTTTACTGCTTTGTTATTTGTTTTTGTTACTACAAATGATTCTTTCTTCTAGTCAAGTAATTGGAATCATTTAAATTCGTGGGGTCAATTTTCTTGGATTGCTTAAATTTTACAGATACGTTGGGACGCAATTTCGTGTATTCTCTGATACTTACATGTACAAAATGACATATAACTTTGTAATCCTTGTTCATTGTTCGTGGAGGATGTAAACTAGTGGATGCGAAGTATTAACGAAATCCACGAAAATTGAGCCACCACGAAATCTAATGATTCCACAGTATTTGGTCATAACTTACTAATAAGATTTACTTACTGATTCCACTACATATTTAGCATTGCATTATCACAGATATTACAATTCCTCTGTTGGACTAATGATAAGAAAAAATATTAATAAGTCTGGTGAACAGCAATCTTCTGTAAGTTGATAAAACTATTTATGTCGATGAAAAGTCATGTGAAATAGTGTGACGGTATATATTATCGTTTTGTACATATTGTCGTCGGCGACAATATGTACCTACCCTCACTGCACATATTGTCGTCCATCGGTACATATTGTCGCCGGCTGAAAAGTAACATATGTACATATTGTCGCTGGCGACATTATGTGCCTCACCCTCACTGTACATATTGTCGCCCTACAGATATTGTTGCTTAAAGACTTCTTTTGTTGTTTTTTGGTAGTTTTGTGAATGTAATTGGGGTGTATATCACACTGACATGTCTCGTATGCCCTTTCATGCAGCGTGATTGTGACGGTACATTTTGTCGTCCTGTTCATATTGTCGCCGGCGACAATGTGTACCTACCCTCACTGTGCATATTGTCATCCATCAGAATATGTCGCATGACAATGCACGGCAATGGTCCATATAAATATGACCAGAGAAACTATGAACTTCAAAAATAGTCATATACTCTTAATGTTATCGTCGAAATATGGCCAACTCGGTGTTAAACAACAATATACAGTTAAATTATATCATTGAGGGAGTTAGCAAGATTCCAGTTCCCCAAGGCCAGGACTATTTCCCGAGGCGAAGCCGCAATGATATACTTTTATCTGTTTTATTTTACCGATACAAACGTAGAATTTAAAGGATTCAGATAGCGTGATTTCAAATCAGGGATTAGCTCACTGAACTAGCACACGGGGATTAGTCCATTCACATATCATACCAATTTTAATGTAAAACCTAGAGGATTACGGATAACCGGGAATTAGCTTTCGAAGCGGGGACTAGCTCACTTGACTAACACACGGGGATTAGTCCATTCTTAATGATTTCTAGGGAAATAGTCACATCTATGTGACATCTTATGTTATATAGGGAAACATTCAGTAGAGGTATAATTATAATCAATCAATCAACAATCCATATAAATATGACTAATCATTGCTTTGCTTTGCTCTGTCGCATTGCCTTGATCTCTCTTTGAGAAGATAATTATTAAAGAAATTTCTCATATATTTCTATGTAAAAATTTGATCGCTTATTGTGGTCCCAGCCTAGGCCCGGTTAGATTTGAAGATGCTTGAATCTGCGCTACCTGAGGAAACTTCCATACATGTGTATGTACCACTATTCACGGGTCTACTGCTGTTCTCAGTGGTGGATCCAGACAAAAGAGGAGGATGGTTTAGAATTTTTTTTGACAAGCTAAAAAAATTTTAAAAGTCATTTGCATCTAAAGGTGTGTTACTGTATATGTTAAGTAAATTATTAAATTATGAAATTTTATCTGTGGACTAAATTGAGAGTACCTCCAAGTCATTTTTCAAAAGTTAACATATTTGAATGATTTTTTATATCTATATATATATTCATATGAATTTTCATAAAACATTACTTCTTTGGGAAAACAGTGAGAGATACATGTATCTCTATAATTTTGGTAAAACACGTGATTTTCACTATAGAAATCAATTACGGAAAAGGGAAAATATTTTTAAAACATTTCTCCCCCCCCCTCCCCCCGTAGAAACAAAAATTCATTTTTACAGGCAATATGGACTGTCCTTTCACAAATCCATACCAAAGCTTTGGTTGTTTCACGGGGGGGGGGGGACATATGTTTACAGACCAAAAAAAAAAAAAAACGACCAAAATTGTTATTTTTTACCAATTTCAATGGGGTTTACAAGTAAAACATTGTATTTTATTAATAATATTTTTAATTTTATATGAGTAAAACATAAGAAAAGATTTGAGGAACATTTATTCATATCCAAGAATATTTTAAAATGTGGTGATGCTTTAAAGCCCGATTTCAATGAAAAATATCGTTTACACCCATATACAAAGAGTTGGAATTAGGGGTAAATAATTATTTAACTCTGGAATTAAAATTATCAGTCAATTACCATTGAACTGTTCTTTGCATATTCAACAAAGATCTTACGGCCAAATTGTCATTAGTATTGAATGAAATGGGTGTAAAATGTAGGCGGGAATCGAAAGTTAGCGTGCGTAGTTCTTTAGACCTATACTTGGCACTCATGGTCATTGAGCAGTGAGGGATTTTCTTTCGTGCCAGCTACGCAAAATTGATCGTACGCTATAAAACGAAGCTTTCACATAAGTATCATCTCTTCTGACCCAGCACAAAAATTGAAGGATTTTTTTTTTCTAAATATTCTTTGAAAAAAAAAAATGATCACGCATTGTAGCCACACCCTTCCCTCGAGGGACATGATCTGAATACATGTAAAACTTAATCTACACCTCATAATGAAGCTTTTACATAAGTTTCATCATTTCTGACACAGTGATGTTTGAGATTTATAAAAGATGTCACTAAATTTTAACTAATTCTTAACTTCTTCCCTTGAAAGAGGGCCTGGCCCTTCATTTGAACAAACTTGAATCCCCTTTATCCACTGAGATGCTTTGTGGCAAGTTTGGTTGAAATTAACCGAGTAGTTCTTGAGAAGAAGCTAAAATTGTGAAAAGTTTACAGACTGAGGGATTTGATCAGAAAAGCTCACTTGAACTCCAGCTCAGGTGATCTAAAAATGTGAACCTCAACACCAATTATATCGGCACATGATTGTATATAAGAAAAACGCAAAAAAATAATTTCCAAAAAAATCGTTACTACTGAACAAAAAAAAAAAACAAAAAAAAAAACAAAAAAAAAAAAAAAACAACAACAACAACTAATACGTGTATTCAATCTCCAAGTATATTTTAGAAGAAAAAAGAATAGGCTGATTTATGAGATATCTCAGGAATTACGGTATTTTGACATATCATAGTGATGTACATCAATCCTGGACACAATTTTCTGCCCAGAAAGTTTTCTCCCTACAGTACTGCTAGTAATGCTGTTTGTCTCCCTCCGTGTGTATGTGTGTGTGTGTGTGTGTGTGTGTGTGTAAATTTCTATTTCCTTTCTCAAGTAAATACAAGTATTCGTCAAAACAATATATCGACGACAATATATACCGACCATGACTGTACATATTGTCGTCGACGACAATAGGTGCTGGTGCTTGACTGTACATTTTGTCGTCCATTATGCAGGACGAAAATAAGGCTCGTCTCGGTACATATTGTCGCCGGCGACAATATATACCGATGGACGACAATATGTGCAGTGAGGGTAGGTACATATTGTCGTCGACGACAATATGTACAAAACGACAATATGTACCGTCACAGCTGTCAATCCAATAGGTGTTGATGATTTCCCTATATTGAAGACCAGACTGAGAATTAATTTTTTTATAAATATATTTAAAATTCGTAAACAAACCCATGCTTTTTCATGCAATTATTTTAGCTTAAAGTATATAGACTCCTTCTTCTCCTGTCCAACTTGGTTTCTTTTATCATACCACTGTTTGCATTTATATGCATTGTTGAAGTATTTATGTTTCAAAATTAACCTAAAGACATATGTGTAGCTGACATGACATACACTTACAAGTAAAATAAAATCATGAATCGTAAAAGATTGTTTTACACATCCTTATGTCTTCTATGTTAGAAGAATACTTAATAACCTCATTAACAAGAAATCTTAGAACTAACCGATAATCTTTACGTTTTAGGCTCTACTGGTAATGGATTGCTCGTTAGATTAGTAATAAGTGGGGTACTGGTCTTTTTGTCAACAGGGATTATTATTTCTCTTGCAATATACATCGTGAGATCTCGAAAAAGGTAAATGCTGTATATCATATGATTTATGTTATTAGTCCCCTACCGGTGAAACCGGAGGGGACTATAGGTTTCCTCTGAGTCTGTCCGTCCGTCTGTCTGTCTGTCTGTCTGTCCGTCTGTCCCTCTGTCTGTCTGTCAGTCTGTCCCACTTGGTTTTCCGCACTTTTTCCCTAAACGCTTGCAGATATTGAGCTGATTTTTGGTATGTGAGTGTATCTTGATGAGTTACAGATCAAGTTTGCATTTCGTTCCGCTTCATTGATTTTTGACGGAATTACGGCTTCTTCAATATTTAGGGGTTTTCCGCAATTTTCTTCTAAACGCTTGCAGATATTGAGCTGATTTTTGGCATGTGACTTAACCTTGATGAATTATAGATCAAGTTTGCATTTCGTCCCGCTTCAATGATTTTTGACGGAATTATGGCATTTTCAATTTCTAACGGGAACCAGATTACACTTGCCGGTAGGGGACTAGTATTGCTAATGCAATACTCTCAGAATGCTTGTTGATCAATGTGTTAACATAACGGACAGGTAAAAGTAAATTTGCATGTTTTTTTCAACGATGATAATACTGTTTTTGTTTTGTTTAGTTTAATTATTGTCCTAAACATTATTTATTGCTTGAAAGAAAATCAACCACTAAAGATGGAAAAACTAAAACAGAAATTCCAAAATCAACAGACAAGATGACACCTCCCCGAGATCATCCTTCCTCAACCTACA